CCCCCCAAGTGTCCTCGTGGCCCTGCGCTTTTCGGAGGACCAAGACCTGGTGGCGGCCGGCACTGACGCCCTGGCCGCACTCACATCACTGAACCGCAGCAACACCATCCGTCTCGCGCACGAGGTGCGGCCTGGAATCTTTAATGCGACTGTGGCCGCTGTGCTCGCTCTATCAACATCATCGACTGGCTGTGCACGGTCAAGTCGTCACCAACCCCCTGTTGCTCCCGCTCGTCGCTTTTGCCGCCATTCCCACCATCGATCGCACCCACACCGGTCAGGTTGTTCACCGACTGGTTGAGGGCGAGAGCCGCGCCCTGGGGGTGCTGGACGACCTGGTGGCAGGCATGGACGTCAGGTTGGGGGGGTGCTTCAGGGACTGGGTGCGGGACGTCCCATGTGGCAGACATGAGGGGCGTGGCAGACACAGAAAGCGTGTGGGGGCGCAGGCCAACAGCATTGCCCTGTTGTTGCAGCCAGGGTGCGACATGGTCGATCGCACGCCCCAGCCTGCGCTGCCTTCATCGCTCTCGTGCCTGTCCCCCCCCCCAAAGGGATGACGTGGCCGTGCTGCTGGACCAGGCTCTGAGCCCCGCCCTGGGATTCCTGCGCAGCGGCAGCCCGGCCGACAAGGCGGCGGCCGCGGCGCTGCTGGGCAACATCGCTGACGGGCGGCCTGGGGCGGCGCGCTTCCTGGTAGCGGAGGGCGCGCTGCCGCTGGCTGCGGCTCTGCTGCAGGGCGGCGACCTGGAAACGCGCGATGCCTGCGCCCACCTGACTTGGGTGCTGGTCAAGGTGGGGGGCTGCCCTGGGGTGGTGGGGCATTAGACGGCCGGTAACGCGAGGCAACAATTGCCTGGGCTTTGGGAGTGCCAGGCAGGGTGACGCCGCCACGCCCTTGGCCGTGGAGCGACGCGTGCTATGAAAGCGCGTCATCGTGAGCTCCCCATGCAGTGAGGAGCCTGCTAGTAGCTTGTTGCACTTGTAAATGGGAATGAACGGCAGGCCATCCCTTGTTTTGCCTCTGCGACTGCAGGACGACCGCAAGCTGCTGTCTCCTGCCAAGAACGCCCTGGGGCTGGCCGGCGTCAAGCTGGTGGAGCCCCTGGTGGAGCTGGTGGAGCAGGTGTGGGGTGTGTGCGTT